AATGATGTTGCTATTAAGAAAATATGGAATACTTTGAATAACTTTTATTTGTCTTTGAATTCTTTGCTATTGATCCTGTTCATTTAGAATTTTGTGTAAAGTGTAAAGTACCAGTTGGCAGCTTATTTTAATACTAGCTGCTAAAAAAAATATTGTGATTGTTTTTTGTTTTTTTTTTTCTTGCAAGAGAACAATATCAGCCTGTAAGGGTGGTTCAAATTGACCTCGAGACCAGACACAAAGTAGCCATATTTGCATGCTGACGCTCACCTGACATATAGCCAGCAACTCAAATAGCCCAAGACAAGCTCTACTTCTGTCGCTTTAGTGTGTCTTAAATAGAGGGGCTTCTATCTGCTGCTTGCTGGTTTTAACTTAACTTGTTATATCTGGATCTAATGGAGCAAGTCACAGTGCTTTATTCATTTTGTAAAGCAGCACATCGGCACCAGCGTCCAAAGGTCCACCAAAGATAGAGATGCTCCCAGTTTAGGGAGTCCGGGATCAAACTGCGGCTGGCTCATGCATCTGTATAACCAGGACTTAAAACAGTATTTCTTTATCTCTTACTAGATTCCTATCATACAAATACACAGAATAGTAATTAAATTAGTTTAATGATTTGACAACTATAAACTGGAAGCCAGAACTAAGCTGAAACAAATCTGAGAAAAAGTCTTTTCAAGAGTGTAAAATGTAACACATGATAATCTTATATCTTTCTTAGATTTTCTTTTTTCGTCCTTTTCTTTGCATTTTCTGTCTAGTTTTCAGATTTAACTACACAAACGTTTTATCTAGCTATATGTGCAACGCAAATGCCAGACTTAATTTCTGTATCCCAACTTCTCCTGGCTGGTTTTTGATGGAATTTTTATTAAGATTTTCGCAGGCAAAAAAAAAAAAACAACAACTCACGAATACGTCCAGGTTTTGTCTTCACGAGCAGATAATTAAAAAAATGATGAATAATGTTCACTTTAAAAGGGTTCACAAAAACAAACTGCATCAATAGTTAATGCACTGCATGATTAGAATGTTGCGAAGGAAGCGGCTGTAGTAAATGTAAATATAAGCATGAACCCCATAAATATGCTGCCTATGGTCAAAAGTGCAAAGCTCACGAAAGAATCACTTATGTGTCGAACCAAGAAATAAAATATAGGCTTCAAACAAAGGATGGGAAGTCTGAATGTAAATCAATAATAAAGAGATATTTATTGGAGCTAAGGAGTCCAAAATAAAGTCAAATGATAATGTCACCAAGAGGGGAAAGAAAAAATGATCACAAGTTATTAAGGTAAATGGATCACACATTCAAACTTTATACCAGGGCAGACTGCAATGTTTTTTCTGTTACAGCTTCAAGAAAGGTGAAAAAAAATAAAGCACCGCTGCAAAATATGGACTGAAGTTACTGGTGTATTCTCACCAGAAGATGGTGCCATTAGTCCAGATAAAGCTAAAGTGTCTGTACAGAAACGAATCACATGAGTTGGAGTTTTAACTAATAGAGGCTGACTTACCTGCAGTCCTGGGGGGAGATTCATGAACACAGTTAGAACTGATAAAGAGAATCTAAAAAGTGGAAATTGAAGAAAAAAACAAATATCCCTGTTTGAAGGTTTAGGGTGTGTACCCTGTGAACATCACATTTAGGGTCCAGTATTACACCCGCCCAGGAAAGTACCTCTGACAGTAAAATACACAATCAAAGCTGAGATAGAAAGAAAGTAGGAACTTGACTAGACTGTCAAACAAAAGAAGTCTACTGACTGATTTAATAGTGTTGTTAAAGCACATGTCAGGAATCCAGTTTGTGTGGTCTGTTGTTTGTGTTTGTCTCTCCCTCCACCATCAGGTGGTGCCCTGTCCTCGTTGGTCCTTCCTGCACACCTGCGTCTCGTTGGATCATTATCGGGAGGAGTACTTACAGTAAGCAGTGGACTGTCACTACCTCGGTGCAAGAGTGTTTGCCAGTTTTGGCTTTCCTGCAAGCTGGATGTTTGGCCTTCACTAGCCTGACGTAGTCCTACTCAGTTCTAGTCAGAATATGAGTCTGCTACTGCTCCATAGAGCTGTGATTATGGGGCGTGTTTCAAACGAACCAGAAAAAAAATTGGATAGACCTACAACCAAAAAGAGCAACGGAGTGC